TCTGCAAACCATTTGAATGCCTGTTCCAGAACAAAGGCAGTGCCTTTAATGTTTAGCCCTTTGATCTCTTATGTATAATAATTATCAGTTATGGGTCTTATTGTACTATTCCTATTATTTCTTTTGTTCAGTTGTTGGATGTATTCCAGTGGTTTTTAAAAATTCTTTGTCCTCTATTTCATATTAATTTTTGGAAATTATTTTTTATGTGACAAGCTCAAGTATTATTTTATTGTCATGCTAACTAACTTCTTCCATTGCATTATGTCTCAATAAAGCATTATTGAATAAGCAGCAACAGCCCTCCTTCATTACAGCATCCTTATCCTGTATGCACAGGACTTTGATTCAGCTTTTATGCAATTCTCAAAGGAGTACCCCTTTACATAAGGAACATAAAGAACATAAGAACAGCCATACTGAGCCAGCCCAAAGGTCCATTTAGTCCAGTATCCTGTCTTCCGATAGTGGCCAATACCGGGTGCTTCAGAGGGAATGAACAGAACAGGTAATCATCAAGTGATCCATCCCCTGTCACCCATTCCCAGCTTCTGGTAAACAGAGGCTAGGGACACCATCCCCGCCCATCCTGGCTAATAGCCATTAATGGACCTATCCTTTATGAACTTATCTAGTTCTTTTTTGAACCCTGTTTTAGTGTTGGCCTTCGCAACATCCTCTGGCTAAGAATTCCACAGGTTGATTTTGCGTTGTGTGAAGAAATACTTCCTTTTGTTTGTTTTAAACCCGCTGCCCATTAATCTCATTTGGTGACCCCTAGTTCTTGTGTTATGTGAAGGAGTAAATAACACTTCCTTATTTACTTTCGCCACACCAGTCATGATTTTATAGACCTCTATAATATCCCCCCCTTAGTCATCTCTTTTCCAAGCTGAAAAGTCCCAATCTTATTAATCTCTCCTCATATGGAAGCTGTTCCATACCCCTAATCATTTTGTTGTCCTTTTCTGTGCCTTTTCCAATTTTAATATATCTTTTTTGAGATGGGGCAACCAGGTCTGCACACATTATTCAAGATGTGGTCGTACCATGGGATTTATATAGAGGCAATGTGATATTTTCTTTCTTATAATCTATCTTATTCCTAATCATTCCCAACCTTCTGTTAGCTTTTTTGATGGCTGCTGCAGCCCTTTCTGTTCAAGGAATATTATTTCACATTTTCTTACTGTTTAAGATGTAGCATCTTATACACGAAGAAGACTACTAAAAGGCAATTGCTTTTACAGTCCAAAGTCTATACTAGAAATCCAAGTGAATGGCAAAATTTCACAGACAGAAATACTCTGGAGAAGTATCTTTATAGGCAGATAATCTGTAGACCCTACTATCCACGAGGTTCATTTCATTCACAGTCATGCTGCTGGCACTCCAAGCAACAGAGTCTAAACTCTGCCAACAATCCATTTTGCAGACTGTGCATTTGCAAAAATGGGCATGGTCATCAAGGAAAGAAGAGCACAGAGCTTAGGGGAAAGCAGCCAAGGATAAGATCAAAGAGGTAAAATTGGAGGAACTTGCTGATCAGAATTAAAAGGAACTATCTCCATGAAGATAAATTCACTTAGATGATATGATGATGGATGTCAATGTAAGAATTTGAATAGACCTTGAAAATAAAGGAGTTGATGTAACTGAAATTAAAAGCAAAGCTGCTGGCACATTCATCTCCTTAACACCATCTTTTTTTCCTTCGGACCCCTGCCTGCTCAGAGCATGACTGGATGCTGGTGCAGGAGCTGGTGAAGAATGAGAGGGATGCCGTAGGAGGTCGCTGAAGCGATGCAGTTAGTACTCCATTTTTTCTTCACAAGCAGGGAGGGCCTGGGATTCCAGACTCTTGCCATCCATCGTTCAAGCAGAGTTTGACTTTGCATCCTGTTTCTCTCAGAGCAGGCAGGAAAGGTGGTGAGGAGGAGCATCAAGTTTGGATTGGTGGAGACTGTACATTTGTGGTGACGGAAGAAGGAATCAAGAATCACTTACTTGGTTTTTGTCTGGCTTTGGAGAAAGGTGTAGAATACAGTGGTAGTACTCCACTTATTTCAGCAACCTTCTGCTATCCTGGTACTGGCCCTGTAGAGTTCTAACCCTCTTCCAGGTTTCTGCTGTCTGCTGTAATCCCTGTTCTACCATGCAGCCCCGCCCTCATATAGAAAAACTAACACTTTCCATGCATAGCTCCAGTTGCCTTTGCAGCATATTTGCACAGAGTCATGCTACAAACAGAGACTAGGTGATCTGAGGAAAACTGCATTCTTGGCAGCGTGCAGAATTCCACTTTCTTTTTCTGTACAGGGTTCACAGACAATGAGAAATTGAGTGCAGTATTTTTTATTCCAGTTGAACGTTCTCAGAAGAGAGTAATCTTAAACTGTATTGTGTAACTGTTTCATGTTAAGCCTTAGCCCTCTCACCCACCACATTCATAGCTCACTGACCTTATAACACGTTGATTTTCTGCTTGGTTCTTCACAGTGCCTGTTAGCTGCTTCCATGGTCCTATAGATGTCATGTTGAAACAGACTAATACTATCTTATTTGACACACTGCAGGGGAAAGGAAAGTCCCCTTTTCTCCAAAATTTAGTATTAATGATTTTGGTGCATTCAAGGTTACTCACAGCTAGGTACAACACTAATATAACTTTATCTAATAGGGGCTATAGTGTTAAAGTAACATGGTAATGAAGCTGATTCCAATTCACACCACTTGTTCCATTTCAGTTTCCTGTTGCCTCCTCAGTCTGCATGCCCACTTGCCAACCGTAAAATATATTGTATACTTGTTTTTTGTTTGGTATAAGAAGAATGTCAAGAGTCCTAATGTGATTGAAAAGCCCTCTTAACACTCATTAAGATGCAGGCTAACATGTCTGAAAGCATGTTAGATGTCTGGCTTATGTTCCTGTTTGCGCCTAGGTTATAACACGGCCAGCTAACATGCCTCAGCAATGTTAGTCTGCTTTAACTCTGACTGACACGATTCAAAACTACACCTTTTTGGCTTATCAAGATGTGAGCTAAGAAACAAAGAAACAAACATAACATTTCCTTTTTACACCTTTTCTTCAGCTTGTTATAACCTCACCTTAAAAGTTCCTAGATTGTACCTGCTTATCTACTTGATTCAAGGTTGTTTTAAGCTAATCATGTGACTGACACCCTGTCACTTCTTAATGAATTCATACCAAATTCTACATGTTCAAAACCCACCTGAGCAAATCTTTGGTAATCACGATTTCCAAACTGAACTTTGGAAATGTGTTCAATCTGTATAAACTAAAAAACCCGCTGTTGACCAAACAGGCAGGGAATCCAGTATTGCCTGAAAGTGAGCCGGGTGTGACCAAGAGGTTTATGATCCCTGCACTTAAACTGTTTTCTCCTGAATTCGACTGAATTTCATCCCTTCTCGCCCTTCTGAGATGGTGTTGAGTTTTTCTGTTTATAAAGGGACCAGCAGCTAACTGTTTATTACTCTAGAAATTCTAAAATGAAAGATAATGTGAACAAGATATTACATTTCCTTTCATAAACTCTACCTAATATGGCTAGCTGAAACACTAAGTATGTATTGGGTAATTGGTTTTCTTGCATCCAATGTTTTTAATTGCTTGAATATATAATCCGCTCAAGGTACATTTCTTGTACCTTGATGAATTTTAACATAAAGGTTTATTTCCAGATGGATTTGCATTGGAACAGCTTTTCAGCTGTCTTATAATTTAAATTAACACACTGGTACCAAAACCTTTCTACACATGAAATTAAGCTCAGAATCCATTATGTAATCATGTGGTTATTTTATCTGTGTATATCAAAGTGACTCTTTAAAAATGCCACGCTCCCAGGAGATCCCATAGATTATGCCATGAGGTCAACATCAGTTCAACAACTTTTGTAATAGAGATAAACATTAAAATATATCATTTCAGAAAAAAATATTTAAACTGTAATTAACAATAATTTTTAAATCACCTTTCTCATTTATACCTGGCTTGAAAACCTGAGCAGATGGAGCTGCTTCCTTTGCTGACAAAAGGTTGTGGAGCAGAGGCATCAACACTAATATAACTTTAAGGGCATTACATTCCTCAGTTGAAGGAGGTGTCCCCAACTGAACCATGAAAGAGAGTGCTCATAGTCCACGTGTACTTCTACATGGGCATTTAGTAAACTTCACTGCCAGTTTAAATCTGCAGTGGTTCTGACATATATTTATAATATATATTTATGGTGGAGATGAAAACAAATTCGTACACTGGATATTAATTGGATGGTCACCTGTCATTGACTTGCTTTCTAAGCTTAAACAAGTCATTTAATGTTTTTGTGCCAGTTTCTCCGCATGTAAAACTGGGCTAATAATACTTCTTGTCTTCATAAAGATGTTGTGAGGATTAATTAGATGAAGTCTGTAGAGTACTTGGAGCTTTACAGATTAAATGTACAGTTTGTAGTGTGAACTTGAACAAGTCACTTCATCTCTCTGTGCCTCAAATTCTTCATCTGTAAAGTGGTTATAATTATTTTTACCCACCTTTGTGAAGCATTTTGAGGTCTATGGATAAGAACTCTGCAAGTCTTAATAGCCATTTATTTTTATGATTGAAAACTTCTTTTTTACTCCAATAACTTCACTGTAAGTAGAATATTACTTTTGTCTGAATTGGCATTTACACTTTTGCATGCTTTTAAAATAATTTATTTTAATTTCTGTCAAATAGACTTTCACCGCAACCAAAATCACAAATCAGTGGGTTCCACAGTACACACAATTAAAACTGATTCCAGTTGGTTTTAATTCAGGAACTAGTAGGGGTTACTATGAATGACAATCAGACCATAGGGACTTACTTTAACAGGTCCTAGTAAGGAAGGCTGCCGAGCCTGTGAGTCTCTGATTGATGTTCATCATTTCCATATAGTCCTAAATGTACAGCTGTCCATGATATTATTGCATGTACTGTATTTCAGGAAAAGCAGAGATTTCTGACAGATGTCCTACATGAAGTAATGCTGCTCGACGGCTTGGCCAGTTCACATCCAGTCTCACAGGAGGTGCAGCGAGCCACAGACATTGACAGGGTGTTTGACTGGATCGCCTATAAAAAGGTGGGAATAGTGGATATTTCAGTAGTAGTGTTAGGAGAACATGTTACATTTGTAAAGTTTATGCACTCTTGGAAAAAGGCACACACCACAGAAATTACTAGATAGGAAACCAAAAATAGTGTGGGATATTTTGGGGTTTACAGGTTCAACACCTTTATTGTTAGCAAATTATATAAATAAAGCTGTGAGTTTTCGGAGTGCTGCAATACAAAACTATTATTATATATATTACTCAGATTGTTGCAGAGTCCAAATTGTGCTAGGTGTTTTAAAAGTGCAGAGAGAGGCTCCGTCCCTGCCCTGATGGGAATCTAGAGAAAACTCTTAAGGTGTCTCCAATTCACATTGAAATAAAGTGGGATGGTTTTATTGTTTTACTTATGGGAAAACTTTGCATTTTTTTTAGTTAAAGAAATCTCAGTGTGAAAGCTTGCCGTTGAGAAGAAGGAAACTGGCATGTATGGAATGATGAGAAAATATGTACTGAAATCAGGGACTGTCTTTATGTTTGGAAAGGAGATAGAGAGAGGGTTCTGTATGCCAGAAATGGCATTCAATTGGCACTTTGGGCATTGGAAATAGAATTGGCACAGTAGCCCAGATCATCTGTCCTGGGAGCCCATGTAAACAGGCTTTACTCAGGGATGCTCTGTGAGGAGTGGAATCTTCCCTTTCCCCAGACTCTGGAGCCAATCCACAGCTGCTATTACAGCCTCAGAGTTTCAGTAACCTCTGTGGCTAGTGGACTGGTGTAGTCCTGGATCTACTTGCCACAGCCCTCTCCCTCCCCTGCCCTGCCACTGCTCACAGAACAATCCTAAGTGCTTCCATGGACAGAGGCCTGCAGAGAGCAGCTCTGCAGCAAGCAGGGGGTTAATATGCTATTGGTATCCAGATCTATTTTCTGCAACTGAACCAAGCCACCGCCTTTTGAGTTTTACCTGGGGCATGATACCCTTGTATCTGAATATTGGAATAGAACATTTCAGGGCTATCACCTTTTTGGTTTTATAGTTTGATTTTTACTGTACTTTTAAGAGAGCATATTTTGGTACATCATTTAATGCAATACAAAGCAACTGGGAACATTTCCTCTCAGTTACATAGACATAGTTTCTGTTGACTTCAGTGAGGGGTTGCACCCAAGAGCTAAGGACTGATTTTTTTCTCTGAATATCTTTAATATAACAGTAAACAATTTATACGTCACTGATTCTCCTATATCTCGTTAAAAGACTTTGACAAAATTAAAATCCTGTTTCCGTATCTTGATAACAAATGATGTTTCCCCTTAGTGATATTAGATGAGGTACACAAAACAAAAACAGTTTTAATTAAAAAAATCAGATAAGCTCTTTAGTTTAGGTATGAATTACTGAAGATATATAACAAGTCCATTTAGCTTACATCTCTAATCCATTTTCAATCCCACATCAAATGAAGATAGAGACTTACAACCATGAAATAGCAAAGTACCAAGTGGATATAACACTTCCAAGGATTTGTGAATAAAATAAAAAAGTCTTTTTCACCCAGTCTCCAAATTCTATGTATTAAGTAGCCATATAGAGGAAGTATATTTTTGTAGTGTACTATTAGATCAATTAATACAGAAACTATATTGTTTTGAATAAATCACATAGTTATCAGTTCATGTAATTCATTTACATGTTACAATTTAATAGGTGCTTTGCAAGCAGAACATTTGTATGGAAAATATGATCTTAGACAAATTGTAAAGAATGTGGGTTTTGCAGCCAGTTCATATTCTGGTCAAATGTTTATTCTTCTTTTGAGCAATAGGAGAGGAACCTTCTACTGGAGATTCAACCAAGGAAGTCACCTCACTGATGCTCTCATTTTCTATAGCCCCCTTTCCCTCTGCATCACTAGGTGCATGACATCAGACTCTGACTGCACAGCAGCAGTATGGCCCGATGCCTCCTGCTGAGCAGCCAAAGTACCCTGTATTCCAGGGTGTTTACATATCATCTTGCACTCATACTGTGTTAAGCAAGGGGGAAACACACTCTTTCATCCATTAGCTACTCCCACTCAGCAGAAAGGTCTGGCTTCACTTTAGCCCTTTGCCGTCAATAGCCTTATAGGGTGGAGGATCTTGAGTGTGTAGGACCTAATGGATGAAAAAGAGATATCTATAATATGACATAATATACAAAAATCAAATAATCAGGGTCATATTTTCAAAAGTGCTGAAGTGACTCAGGGTCCTAAGTATCCTTTTCAGTATCCTTGAAAATGATATTTAGACTTGTAAGTTATTTAGAGGCTTTTGAAAATTACCATAGATGAATTAGACCATAACGGCTAGCACCTTGCAGCATGCTGAAGTATTCTTTTCATTTAAATGATCTACCCACCATGTGTTTGCTAATGATGTCTCAACCTCAAAAGGTTCTAAAGGTCATCTCAGATCTGTATCCAAAATATCTCATAATGTTTATTTTGTTCCAATTATTAGGATAATAGTTACGTTAATATAATACTTAGCACTTATTTTTTCATCGTAAAAGCACTTTACAAACATTAAGTAGTTTTAATTTGCATTGAAATGACATATGGGACACTAAGACACATCAGTAAATTATTAGTTATTTTGTGCAGATCCAGCATTATAGGGTCATAGTGCTTTCTCAGGGGATTAGAACATATTCTGTATATTGTATAAAGATTATCACATTCTAAAGGTTCCTTTTTTTAACTGTAACGGTTGCAAAGGCCAGTGGATCTGCCAGCCTCTCAGCTGAGTTCCTCTGGTGGTTTTCCAGATGTCCCAGAATCCTAGTTTTCCCTCAAGTGTTGCATACAGGGCTTGCTCCTGCAAGATGCTGAGCACTCTGACCCAATCCAGCAAAGCACTTTAAGCATGTGAGTAGTGACATCAAGCGGATTATGCTTAAAATGAAACACAAGTTTAGCTGCTTCTTTGGATTGGTCTAAGAGAAGACCTGTTTTAGGTACGGAGGACTAAAAAACAAAACGAGTATACATATCCCTATATTTCAGATATAATCAACCCCTAATTAATGCAAACTAGGAAGAAATGTCCCCTCCGGACAAATTATTCCATAACTGACCACTTCGGGGTTTCTTGCACTTTCCTCATAAGCATCTGTTTACTATTGGAGGCAGGATAATAAACTGGATGTGGCAATTTTTATGTCCCTGTGTTCCTTATTCATTCCCATATATCTTTGTAGCATTCTGTGCAAATACTGTTCACCAGTTTAACTAGCGAGGAGACAGAATAACATGCCTCTTAGAAGAATAGGCAGCATTTTCATTTCCATCTATCTCTCTACTGTCTGTCAGTATAAATATTATGATAAATTATATGTCAAAAATTATTCTTAGATTGTAAATCTGGAGGAAAATGTACCCTAGTCACTATCTCTCTCATTGCTGCTGCTCATCTTTTATTTTTGCACATTGTGCCTTGCCCATGGCTTTTAGCAGGTACTTTGAGATAATACAATCAAATGCCTTCTGGTCCTGCTTGCAAAATGAGGCATTGGATAATTCCAATGCGTACCGGGAAGGGATACCATGACTGATATTTCTTTTGTGGCTATTTTGCCACTTGCTGGCATTTTTTAATTTAATGCCTCATCCCAGCGTTCTTTGGGATTCTTTCCATTGACTTCAATGGGATTTGGATTGGCCCTCAGAGATTAAAAAACAGGACTTTACTGACATTTAAAAAAAAAACTTCTCCTTTTTACTGGCTTATAGCTACACAAAAGTATATTTTCTGTATGGAGGGAATTTTTTAAGCAATTTCTTGGGTTTTTTAAATTTCCACTTTGTAGTCCCGGTGGCCTTCGGTTAGCCTTGTGGATTTCCCCCTTCTTTCTTCTCTTCACAATCTTTTTCTCAGAAACAAAATGACAAAACTTGCTCTTTAATTTTTCTTTAACAAAAAGACAACCAGTAAATGTCTTTGTCTTTATTATTACTATTGTATAGATTTGTTAGATACATTTAAAACCGTCCAGCTCTCTCAAACACTGTCTTGACAAAGAGCTAACATCTGCAACTTTAGGGCCTGCCCTTCTTTCTCTCTTTCCTTTATGCATCTTAGAGATAAACATTAAAATTATGCTATTTAAATGCCTTGGAGCTGAATATATTCTTCATTTCCACTTTTTTTGTCCTCTGTGGTTGCACATGCGAAGAACATTAAGCTCTGAAGACATTTATTTATTTAAACCCAGAAGCAGAGTGAAACAAATACTGTAGTGCTATGAAATACAGTGTTTCCACTTGAAATGTTGATAATGATGTTTGAATATTTCAAAAGCATTGTGATAGTGATTCTTAAAATGTGTGTGTGTCCCCTCCCACTAAAGCCATAAGTACCCATGTAGAGGAACAAAAAGTCATAATAGCTTATTCATAAGTAATATTAACAGAAAAATCCATTCAGCCTTCTTGTAAAGCTCTCGTGTCACACCAGAGAATGGATCTCTCTCCCTCATGCAGCTGGAACATGTGATTATACCCCAAACACCATAGGAAATATAGTTTGCTGAACACTAGAGAGGATTTGAGGGATTTTTACATCAAAGCAGAAAGAGTGGTGGCATTTCTGCACCAGAATTACCTTTTCAGCAGGAAATGTAGCCCTGGGGAGCTGCAGCAACAGAGAAAGAGAGAGAGAGAATAACATGAGGGACAACTAGCCATAATAAAAGGGTGAAACAAGACAGCTGTAGCACAGAGGGAGCAGCCAGAACCGGGACAGTCTGAGACAGATGCATCCGAAACAGAGTTGCCAGAACTAAGGGTGGCTCTAGCCAGTAACAGAACAAGAAGGACAGACACAATGGGCACAGGAAGGTATTGAAGGACACTAAGGACAGGGCAAATAGCCTATGCTCAGGTAAAGAATTCTGAAGTCATAGCCAAGAGCCCAGCAAGAAAATCTAGAGCTAAGTATGTCCTAGTAAGAAGAGTAATGATTCTGACAGCAGTCAGAG